AAAAGTTAAAAGACCAAAAAATAAAAGTATCTAATATAAAGAAAACAATTTTTCAGCAAGCTCCAAGTAACTGTCTCCAAAATCCCTTTATTTTATCCCAGTGTGGTGTACAAATATGACGTCTATGGATGTGATGGCACACTCACAAAAAAGGTTAAAAACCACCAGTTTAACCTTTAGATCAAGACTTTTTAACATTAAATCTCTTGATGGATTTTAGCTATACAAATACAGCTTTCTAGAGAAAATGTCAATAGTTTTTATCAGATTTTCAAAGTTTAAGGAGTTGGCCTCAGGGATTTCAAGTTCTCTATAATTTCACTCCAAAGAAATAATGATACAAGTTAAGGATTAAATAATAAAAGTTAACGGTTAAGGGCTAATCAGAGTTCCAATAAGACAGGCAGGACAAATGAAGGTGCTATCTAAGTAGAACTACTGTATGGCTGTCTCTTTGGCTCTGTCTTTGAGAATCCTGATTTTGACCTCTTTTTTCAAATTCACCTAGCATAGTAAGAGGATCCTAAAATCTTCATTCTATTATTAGATACCACCTCTCAGATCACCAGAAGCTAGGGAGGAGTCCACGTATATAAATATGCAGACAGAATAATTTCAAATACATATATGTGAGCCAGTACAACGTAGCCAAAACCTCAAAGCCAATACCATAAAAATTACATCTGCACAGACTATTTTCTCTCTGTGTTTCCACAGAACTTTGTACATATCTACAACTCTGTGTATCTAGGTATATTTCCCTTGAAGCCTAGAAGAGTTGACTAAAGGCACAATACCACTAATTTATACTGTATTTTTGTGTTTTTTTCTCGGCTATAAGCTCTTGAGAGGTAAACACTTATTTTATTCTTAAAACAGTATCTAATATATAGTATGCTACAAATATTTTCTTGATTAATGGTAAATTAATATGCACCTGTAAAACTATTAGAGACATAGGTACAAAGACTTTCTGTAAACAGAATGTCAACTGCACAAGAAATAATATGAAAAATCAGCAAGTGAGATTATATCAAATTAAAAAGTTTCTGTAAAGGAAACAACCAATAGAGTGAAAATACAATCTGTAGAATGAAAAAAATTATCAGATATTCCTCAGATGGAGGACTAATACCTAAAATATATACTAAGAACTCAAAAAAATTAGAATTCTTCAAAATGAAGGCTCAATCAAAAAATGGGCAACTGAAGTGAATGCGTATTTCTCAGAAGTATAAATGGTCAATAAACACATGAAAAAAAATATTCAGCATCTCTGGGATTTAGAGAAATGCAAATTAAAACAACACTGAGACTCCATCTTACACCAGAGAGAATGGCTATCACCAAGAAATCCAAAATACCAACAGTGGTAGGAATGTAAACTAGTACAATTATGGATATCAATATGGACTTTCTGCAAAACATTACAATTAGAAATTCCATTTGACCACGTATTCCCCTTCTAGATAACTTTCAGAAAGCATAAAGACATCATGTTATAGCAACATATACACACCCATGTTTAGAGCAGCACAATTCATAATAGCTAAACCTTGGAAGTAGCTTATAGGTTCATCAGTTGATGAATGGATAGAGAAAATGTGATATTTATTTATCATGGAGTACTATTCTGTCATAAAAAGGATAAGTTTGAGTCATTTGTGGAAAAATGGATACACATTGAGACCATGAAATTAAATGAAATAAATCAGACACACACAATATTAAATATCACTTGGTTTCTCTTATATGAGAAACCCAAAGTATAAATAGTTTAAAGAGCAAAATAAAAGACAATAATGAACAGAGAGATAGATATTTTACAAATAGGAAGAGGATCTAGAAATGAAGGGTGGTCTAGATGTGGTAGTGCATGCCTGTAATACCAACATTTGGGAGGCTGAGGCAGGAAGATTGCTGAGAGTTTGAGACAAGCTAGGCTACATAGTGAGTTCAAGGCCAGCCTAACTATATAGCAAGACCCTGTCTCAAAAAACCAGAAAGAATGAGAAAGAAAAAAAGAAAGAAAGAAAGAAGTAGAAAAGGGAGAAGAGTAAATAAAAGATGTGATACGTACATGTACTAACCCTCAAGACGAATATATTCATTATGTATCACAAACATGATGGAAAAGAAAAAGTAAATAAACAGGCACCAATAATTTTCAAATCTAAGTTTCCTTAAATATTAATATACCAAGAAGAGATATTTTTCCTTGTAAATTAATAAATTAACTTTCTGATGCAATGTTAATTTGAGTAATTTATAATCCATTTTGACCTTAGATATGCTGAATCAAAATGCTCTACACTAAAAAAAAAAAAAATGCTCTACACTTAACTATAGATGAAAGAAGTCCAGACCACTCATCTACTCCTACTGTCAAGGAAAGCTGTGAATCATGTCTGTTTTTCTTTTGCTTAAATTATTTTCTGTATATAAAAAGTAATCTGGAACAAACTCTAAAGAATACAAAGTAATCTTAGTTGCATGCAGAGCTTTTCAGTTTATATATTATCATGTATTATTTCATTTGAGCACAAGAATCCTGTGAGAGTTCTGTTGTAGAGATAAAGTAAAGCCCCAAAAGTTCAAGTCATGTGCACAGTTTTACAGAGCCAGAACTAGAAACTAGTTCTTCTTATTTATAAGGTAGTGCTTTTTCCCTCTGTAAAGTTAGTGAACTCAAGCTTCTCCTTTTCCAGATGAAATCTGTTTTTCCTTTTTTTCTGTGATGCTGGAGATTAGGCCCAGGGTTTTACATATGCTGGACAAATCCTCTGCAAATAAGCTACATCCCCAACTCCAGATGCATTTAATAGTATGTTATTACACATAAGCAGATAATTAGTCCTGCCATTCCTACATCAGTGAGAGAGTCAATATGCATTATTAACATCTACTGATTTGAATAATACTTTTCAAAAATGATCCATCGGTTTATAAGCCACCTCTTTCATTTGAGATTCAGTTTTCGGCTATGTATGCTGTTTTATTGGCTCCGTATGTAGCTTCCTGTTTGATTTCTTAAGCACTGGTTCAAAGTTCTGGCTTTTGAACTTTCTCTTCTCTTCCTGTTTACTACGGAGCTCTGGGAAAAACACAGTCAGATTGTTTAATCTGTGAACCATGTACGTATCTTTGTTTAATTTTTATTGCAGGCACTCTTGGTCACCACCAGGGGGCAAAAGCCTACCAGATGGCCTCTCTGCAATACATTGTATATAGGACTTTACAGTACAGGGACCCTCAGTGTCTGATTCTTGATGGAACCTCCCTGCTAATTATTTCAACCACAGGGCCCCAGGGAGAGAACAAAGGCTCAGCACAGAGAGCTCTTGTGACACTTAACCGTACAGCAACCAGAAACAGCTCATGACAGCCCTGTCAGTTTAAAAGAAGCAATAAGATTTAGGAGTGAGTGACAAACAGAAGGTGGGTTTCGGTGCTGCAAACTCCTCTGTGTTTTCTATAGCTTTGATATGCATGGTGGTATTTACCAGTTCATCCACTCAGAGAGAAAGAGCTTTGTCAATTCTTTTGCTGTGTAAATACTAAGCGGTATGTACATTGTGAGGTTCCCCCTTTTAAATCTTGATCTTTTATAACATTCTGGATTTATGTACTGTGAATACTTTATCTTTCAGAAAATTATTCTTTTAAAATAACTTTTAATTTACATTTTCACCTATGTCTTTGAAATAATGCAAGCTAGAGACAAAGGAGAGAGCTCAAAGATCAAATTTAATTAGTATAATTTCTTCACAGCAGGAAGCAAATAGATAAACGGCAAGTAGGACCTTTACAACTCGGTGAGCCTAGCTTTCTTGGCCTCTACTCCAGCTTCTTTTTACCTCAGGAGTGAACAACTTTAAGACAGGTAATAGAGAATACATGCAGGTACCATGAAGTTTGCCAGGATTTATTTTTTTTTAATTTCAAAGAGCCTCGTTATGAAATATGGACAGAAATGTGGGAAAGCTCAGAACCCCCATGCACCCCTCCACACACACACACACACACACACACACACACACACACACTACTGAAAGTGGGGTCATGGGGGGGAGGCACTTGGCTCCTGATCTAACCCAGACTCATGCAAGCCCAGTGAAAGCTTTTGAAACCCGCAAAACCTTTTCCCACCAGAAAACGTGTTTGCCTCTGATTTCCACCTCAGTTTCTTTTCTCTAAGGCTAGCTAGGCTGTACAGCACATCTCATAAAATGGTTGTCTCAGGAGTGCGGACTTCAGCGGTCCCTGGTCCAGGACTTCTTACTCGGCTGGAAGATCTTGGTCGCTTCGCAACCCCCGCCCGCACCCTCATCCCGTATACCGCACCCCGCACCCCGCACCCCGCACCCCGCATCCCGCGCCCAGCGCGGTCTCTGTACCAGGAAGGAAATCCGGGAGGGGGCGGCGGCCCGAGGCGCACGCACACTGCCAGCTTCCGGCAGTCGAGGGGTTAAAACCAAGCGGCGGCGCGCGCGGAGGGGAGAGGCGGTTGCTGACAGGTGGCGCCTGCGCACTGGGAGCGCTCATTGTGCCCCGCAGCTGCCGAGCCGCCCGCCCGCCCGCCGCCCGCTCGGCGCGTCAGTCGGCGAGGAGTCCAGTGGTGGGTGCGGAGACTGAGACCGTTCCCGCGGCCTCCTCTTCCTCCCCGTTCCCCTCACCCCTACCCCGTACCCTTCACCCTCTTCCCGGCTCCGTCAGCCCCCACTCCACTCAAGACGAGAATGCCCTGCCCGGAACAGCCTAGCAGCGCCTAGATGGCTTTGGTCACGGTCCAGCGGTCACCTACCCCCAGCACCACCTCCAGCCCCTGCGCTTCGGTGAGTCCCTCCGGGCGGCCGCTCCGCTTGCTTCTGTCACTGCGGCTCCGCTTTGCCTCAGCGGGTCCCGCCGAACGCCACTGCGCACGCGCCGCGCCGCTTCCCAGGCCTTGGCACTCTGCTGCCGCGAACCCCCCACACCCTCTTCTTACTGATGAGCAGCAGGAACTGCACGACGTTGGTTTATTGCCCCTATCACCCTGAGCACCCAGCTTCTCACAGTCCTCGCCCTGAAATCCCCGGTGGCATGCCTTCCAATGCTTGAGCATTTCCTTTCGAGAATGACTCATTCTTGCTTTTCACCCTCCCCCTTCTTTACCCTCTGTTGCTCTGCTGCAGGGAGGGGACCGAGGGTCTCCAGGGTTGGCCCTTACCCTCACCCACACCCTCTCAGCCACACGATTTCAGGAACCCATTCAGTGTCTGCACACCGCTTACCCTTCTCCAGATTCGCCCGGGTGTGTGCCTACCCACCTAGCCACTTGCCGTCTTTCTTGAGCTCTGTACTATATTCAAGCTTCTTTGGACTGCTGACCGGTAGTTATTCCTTGGTTTCTTCCGTTCCCCAAACGGTGGGAGTTGGGTCTCTTTTGCTTCTCGGACTTCTTACCTTTCTTCAAGGAGGTCCTGAGGCACCTGGTGCTCTTCGGTGACCAGTACCAATTCATTTCCATCTTACGGACATTTATGTCTTAGATTCATTGCTCAGGATCATTCTTGTTCTAAGGTTGTGTTCGAATGGCTTCTTACTTCAGATGCCTATGCTAATAAAGCATGCTTCCCGATGAAAAATACACAGTAGCTACCCTTTTCCTGCTGGGCCTGTCTTTGCCTCAGCCTCATTCCTTTACTACTCTTTACCTAGGCTTCATTTTTTGAAAATATTTGTTTAAAAATGAAATATTGCACCAGTGGAGCAAAATGGACTTAAAAGTCCTAAACATCTAGATGTTTTAGAGAAAACCAGGCTAAATGAAAATGTGAAAACTATGTTGAATTTCCTACAGATTATAATTTTAAAAGTAGTGTTGGTGGATTTAGTAATATCGAGTTGCAAAAAGATATTCTATAAAAATTATACTGCCTTCTATTATATAGAAATTGGGATTACTCAAAATTTGTTAACTGGGATGTATGGTTTGATATCTTCAAAAAATGCTGGCCTGTGACTTTAAATAGCTTCTTACATTTCAATTTTTTTGTGTGCATAGCTGTATTTTTATCTTTTCTGAGTTTTTTTCCACATTTTTTGGACCAAATTCAGTTGTATCTTAATTAAAGAAGTGATTATATTTCAAAGATTGACCTATCTGTCATGTTCCAGAAAGTAGACAAGTAGGATTCTTGGACAGAAGTTTAGGAAGGTAGATTTCCAGTCACTGAAAAGAATTTTGAAACAAGGGAGTACACTGCTTTGTAATATGTTGAGTATCTATTGCTAGAAGTGCAAGTGTTCAAGCAAAGGCTGGAGGACTTTTCCCATGGGAGATGGTTTAAAGAATTCCTGTAGGAGGGGACTCTAAGGCTCTGTCTTTAGGATTGTATGACTTGAGAATTATTGTACTTCAAAGCTAGTAAAACATTTTAAGATCCTCTAAAGACAGGTACTACAGGAATAGAAATTTAATATATTTTACTTTTATGTGCAGTACTTCAGGGTTGATTTTGGAAAGTCATTAACATACTGTTAGACCATCTTTAATTCATTCCACAAGTGAACTCTATGGTTTGTGGTTAGGAGACCAGATTTTTGGCTGAGAAAGCAATTGAGGGTTAGTACATGCTTACAGACTAGAAACCAGTATTACAATAACATTTTTACCAGGTATTGTTGAAAATGATTTATGCAAGAGTAGTACATTTATTAAGTTGTTATCATACCACTTTGTTGAAGTGATTGATTGGTGTATAGGATTTGGCTTTCTTACCCAAAACAAGGGTTAGTTTAGAATCTTAGAGTATATTTATAATCCCTTTTGACATAGGTAACTAAATTGATCATGTGGCAAACTCTGCTTTTAAGTTTAATCACTGATATTTCTATATAAACTAGCCTGGTCATTTCAATTATTTATACTTAGCCTTGGGTACAAAGGAATCCTGGCACTGATATGTGTAACAATTACCATTGTTAGTGTGACTGATAAACCAGTTATCTTTCCTTTTAAATTTGAATTCATCCAAAGCTGTATGCAGCTAAGTAGTTTCATGGTCCTTGTGCTCCAGTGTTTGACTGCTGTCTGACTTGCATATGTATTGCTGTTGTATCTCTTGGGGAAAGACTTAGTTGGGTTGGTCTAGAAAATTGTAAAAGAGAAAATTAATTTTATGAGGCTGGAAATTTAATTTTTTTCCATTAGTCACTGTAAGTATTCCGTTTTCACTACTGGATTGGAACATGTTAATACTGTTCTTCAGTAGTCCTTCTTTAGGTACTAAACAATTGATTACTTTTCTAGGCCATTATGTATATTAAGATGTATAAAACATTTACCTACTTTAAACATATACATCAGGACTACATAATCTGTGTGCCAAGGGCAGCAGAGGAAAAACAATCATGAGATGGGAGGTTAGAAAAGGAGAGCAAGAGGAATAATACTGTATGTGTGTGAGGAATGAGTTCTTACTGGTCATAAGTATTGTCTGAGTTCAGATTAAGATAAATTCACTAATTGCGGTGATAATAAGTAATAATAATATCTGGCATCTCTTGGGTCTAGGCATTGTGTAAAGTACTTTATATAAATGGATTAACTCATTTACTCCTCATAATATGCCTAAAGGGAGATATTCTTATCCCCATATTATATATTAAGAAACAAAGGCAAGAAGATATTAAGGACCATGCCCTGTGTTACTCAGCCAGTAAGGAACTAAAGTTGTAATTCAAGCCCGGATCGCCTAACTTTAAAATCTGCCATCTTTTCCATAGAATATCTTTCCCAGAGAATACCCTGGGAGAGAAGCTGCATGCACCAAGACTAAGAGACAAAAATGTATATGTCATATCTGAAGGAACTAAATAGGCCAGTTTGAGGAACTATTTGGAAGAATAGTAAGAGATAAGGGTGAGGAAATAGCTAGGGCTTTGCAGAGACATCTGAGCTTAAGTGTTTGAACTAGCTGAAGAAGGTAATGGAGAATCCTCAGAGGTTTTCAACAGATATGCCCACAGTAGTGTTGTAAGAAAACTGATCTAGGATCTATGAACCAAAGGGATTTCAGAAAGAGAGAAAGTAATGAGTAGAACCTTATAGAGGCTGTTGTAGCCCAGATGTGAAATAACAGCTGCCTAAACTGGGATTTTTGAATTAGCAATGGGATAATGGGACATACATCAGAGATTGTAGAAAACACTCAAAGGACTTAGGGATTGATTAAATATAGGAAAAGAAAAATCAAATGGCAATTCTTGGAATATATTTTTCTTCCTAGAAAATAAATGTTTTATAGGACTAGAGGAATACTTTAGTGGTTCAGTGGTAAGAGCTAGTTAGTGTTTAGCATGTGAGATGCCCTGAGTTCAATACCTAGTAGTAACAACAACAACAAAATTTATCTTTTTCCTTCTATTCTTTTTCAGTATGAATTTTTCTGTTTGTAATTTAAATGTTGGGTTTTTTTATTTTTTATTTTTGAGACAGGATGTCACTGAGTAGTTTAGGCTGGCCTGAACTCACCAGGTAGCCTACGCTGGCATCAAACTTGTGGCAATCCTTCTGCTTTAGCCTCCCAAGTGCTGGGATTATAGGTATGCTCCACCATGTCTGGCTTTATAATTTACCCTTAATTTTAAAATTATGTCCCAGTAATTGTACATAGTTATAGGAAACCAGAAGGGATGATTGGAAATATGTACACAATGTATAATGATCAGATGAGGATAATTGGAATAGCTATCACTTTAGACATTTATCATTGCTCTGTGATAAGAAATTCAAAATTCTCTCTGCTAGCTATTTTGAAATATATAATTATTGCCAGCCATAATTATCCTACTGTGTTATAGACTATTACAAGGTATTTCTCCTATTCAACTGTACTCTTGTATCAGTTATCCTTTCACCTTTCCTCCGCTCCTTTCCCAGGCTGTGGTAATCACTGTTCTCTGACTTCTGTAGGATCAATTTTTAGCTTTTACATGTGAAAGAGAACATGCCATGTTTCTCTTTCTGTGCCTTATTATAATGTTCTCTAATTCTGTCCATTTTTCTACAAAGTGATAAATTTTTTACTGATATTTTCTTTATCTGTTGATGAGCACCTAGGTTGATTCCATAGCTAGACTGTTGTAAATAGTGCTGCAGTAGATATGTAAGTGAAGATATTTCTTTGATGTACTGATTTTATGTCTCTTGTATATACATCCAATAGTGGGATTTCTGGATCATATGGCGGTTGTTTCTGCCTTTTTCAAGAAACTTCATACTGTTTCATAATAGCTGTACTAATATACATTCCTAAAAGCAGTGCATAAAAATTCCTTATGGCATTCTTACCAGCAAAAAAAATTCTGTTTTTTATTGACAAAAATTGTATTTGTTTATGGTGTGCAACATGATGGCTGGATATGTGTGTAACATTGTAGAAGAGATTAAGTGAAATTAATGTATCCATCACCTATCATACTTTTCTTGTGATAAAAACATTTAACATTCCACTATCTTTACAATTTGTAAGTATATAATACAGTATTATTAACTATAGTCATCATGCTGTACAATAGAACTCCAGAATGAATTCTGCTGCAATTTTATGTTTGCCAATAACTTATTTCCCTCAACCTTTCAATATGGTTTGAATTTTCTTAATTGATACTTACATTAATCCAAGGTCATATAAGCACAATACCATAATAATCTCTTTTCAGTAGTGTTTTATACTTTGCAGAATGTGTTTGTGTTTGTGCTGTAATTTAATTGTAGGTTAAAAGACAACAAATGTTACAAAACTGGCTGGTATAAGAACCTGCACCAGAATAAGTTCCTTGGTTCCTT